CTCTACCATACCCCACTGGATTTCCCGAGTGAGTCAGAAGTGGAAGTAGATTGCCACTGTTACCAGGAAAAGAGCACCAGTAATGCCTCCTCTCTTCTCTTCCTCCCTCTTGTTCCATCTCCTTTCTTTACTTTTTCCCATTTTCTAAAAGAAAATGGGAAAAAGTAAAGAAAGGAGATGGTTCTATCATTCTATCTCTCCCAGCCTCCACTTTCATAAAGAATTTAAGGGGGCTTGAAAAATAAACAGTTACATGTATCTAAGTTAAATCTGAAAAGAAGTTCAGAAATTATGCAGAGAAAAGGGGAAGATCATTGCACCAGAAGCCAGCACTGAATTTGACTGAGCTTCCTGGCAGCCAAAGCAAAGGGGAATATGTGGTGGTTTCTGATATTTTTGCTGTTCCATCAGAAGCAAATTAATGATTCATTGGGGGAAAACGTCCTTTTCTGATACTGAATTATAGGAGGAATTAACAAAGAATTTGAATATTCTAAGGAGCAGTGTCTCCAGAGGGTTTTAAAAAATACTGTTTGTATTATCCTTTTCTTTTACTGCCTCTGACAAATACTGAATTCTCAATATTCCCTCATAGACGAGCGAAGGCACTTCCCCAAGGGCTTTAACTAACGTTGAGAAGGGACACTGCATTCTCGTCACCTGATTTGATCAGGGGAGGGGAGCGGAGGGAGGGGGTGCTAGTATATCATTTGGAGCTGTTGTTCAAATACTTCCCAATTAGTTCTTGAGAGTTGTGGCTTCTGTCATGCTGCTGGACCATATATTCACTCATTCATTCAATGAGCACTTAGGGGGCTGAAGGGATATTCTATGTTCTACGTGCTGAAGGCAACCTGGAAGGAGACAGACAAACAATCATCATATGTGGAAAGACGTATGATAATGGTGACCTGTGCAAGATGCCACTAAGTGTTGAATGCTAGAGAAGAGAATGGTTATTTCTTTCTAGGTGTGTAGGGCCAGCGATGGCTTACTGAGGAGGTGATATTTGAGCTGGGTCTTGTGGACAATGTAGGGGCTCTCTCAGTGACTGAGATGGGCCCTACAGATTGCGGCAGAGGCAGGACAGTGCCTGGAATGTCTGAGGAGCAGTTAGTGCAGCAGGAGTCCAGGGAGTCCGTGAGATTGAGGAGATTGCTATTGCCCCTAAAAATTACAAGCAGCTGAACAGGGGACACACAGTGACAGGGTCCTAGGGGGACAGTTAAACACTACGATGCAGCGTCAGAGGCCCCTGGCTCATGCAGGAGCAGAGTAAGAACTGTGAACCCAGCAAAGAAGAGCAAAGGCCCTGTTAGGTGGCACATGGGTGGCACAGACGATGAAGGTATCCGATGCCAGGCTTCTGAGTTCCCCTGTCCTCCAAGCCACAGTTCTTTAGGGAAGTGTACTTCACCTTCTGGAAGCCACTGCTGGTTGAAGAACTGGCATTTTGGACCTCCCACAGCACGTATCACACAGGTGGAAGGTTTCATGTCTTAAAAAGGTGATCCAAACCCAACTGTTGGAGAACCTGGACAAACTCTGTTGCATACTGACTCAAATGAAATCAAATAGCAGTTTCCATCTGGAAATGACATACGTAAAGAGGCAGGACATCCCCATGGCCACCCTTTCTGTAATTCTCTTATGCTCAGGCTGGCTCTGCCTCTGCACAGGGGCTTTCTGTGCAGATCTGGCTGCCCGGCTGTGCCCGAGAAAGCAGGCTGGAGGCGGGGAAGGGGCCGGGCTGGGAGGGAGTGGGGGAGAGCATCAGGGTGCTGAGTCTTGGCTAAGACACTGCTGGGCCCATGAATGATCACTTTGTCATTGTTTAGCCGTTGTACAAGCCCCTCACAGTCAAATTCCAGCTTGTTTACTTTCCCACCTTTCCCTTTATACTTCCACCAGGTCTACATAGTGCACGCACCTGGTCCTAGGTCACTGCCATCCCGTTCCCCTCCCGGCCCTTCCTTCAGCTGTACCTAGCCTGTGAGCAAGGATTGCTAGGCTCCACCTTAAATACAGCCTGCCCCAAGAAACCTGTCCTGACCACCCCTGCCCATGAAAACTAATGGTTGTGTGCTCTTAGCCATTTTGGGTAGAGTTCCTGGGGCCGTACGCCTTTTCACCTGGGATTTGTGGGTGAGGGTCCAAGAGTGTGTCTGCTCTCACATACTGTCTTGAGTAAATAGGGCTTAGGAAGGGTAGAATGACCTATGTCAGATCCCCACCGGGTGCTCAGGACAAAGAAGGGAGGGGGAGGAACTGGGACTCACTCAGAAAGGGACCCTTACAGAGGCATTTTGACCCCCATCTTTGCACACAGCAATGTACTGGACAAGCTGCTTCCAGCGAATTTAACTTCCAAATTCGTTCTTACAAATCAGGAGGCGAATGCCATGGCCAAGTCCCATTCTACAGGGATGAATTCTAGACAGTGACCTTTTCCCAACAGCGCCTTGCTGCATGGGATGAAGGCAGTGTTTTTCAAACATTGTTGGTTGTAACTTATAGCAAAAAGTACAGTTTCATGTCTACCTAGTACATATACAACTACTGATATGTGAGACAGTGTCTTGCCTGAAACTCACTATGTTGGCCTGAACTCACAGAAGTCCTCCGCTTCCTGAGTGCTGGGCACCATGCAACCATGCCCAGCTTGTTCTATTTCATTCTAATTTTATTTTTAAAAATTGTTAGACTGGCAAATTTATCTCACCACCTGTTAGTGGGTCAAGACCCACAATATGAAAATCACTTGGGTAATCATCAAGATGTTAGAGTCAGACAGATCCAGGTTTGAATCCTGGTTCTGGCACCTCGAAACTGTGTGACTTCAGGTAATTCACTTTCCTTCTATCATAGACATCTCAGTTTCTTCATGTGTAAAATGAAGACAACAGAACCTGCTTCATGGGTGACTGTGGGGATGAAGTGCTAGAACACAGGCAAAGTTCCTGGCCCAGAGGAAGTGCCTGATAAGCAGCAACTTGATGAGCTTGTGAAGATCATGGTTGTTAGTTCCTGGGAACCGCTTGGCAAGGCCTGTAGGAGAAGTGGGACTCGTGCTTCCAGGGGAGTGGTCCTCAGGAAAGACTTCACAGAGGAGGAGGCCGTGTTAAGGAAGGTGACAGGATGACTGGGACCTGCTTCTGTCCTTACAGTGATGGGAACCCAGCACAAAATCCCCACATTTTCTCTTCTATGGAGGACAGACTTGTGCCCAAGGATTTTTTTAGCTAGACTTAGAGCTGAAAATGTTAGACACCCTTGCTTTTTGCATTTAGGTCTCTAATCCACCTGGGATTGATTTTTGTGTCTGGTGTAAAGATCCAATTTCTTTTTTCCCCTGTTTCTGAATGGATAACCAGTTACCCCCGCACTGTTTATTAAAGAGTCCATCCTTTCCTGCTGATTTGTACATCGCCTCTCTCATATATCAAGGTTCCATATGTGCACAGATCAGTTTTTGGCCTCAATTCTGTTTCAGTGCTCTATTTATCTGTCCCTGTGCCAATACCACACTGTCTTAATTACTGCGGCTTTATAGTGATCGCTGATGTAGGTAGGCTTATCTCTCTAGGCTTGCTCTTCTCCCTCAGAAGCCTGTGGGCTCCCTTTGGGCCTCGGCTCTTCTCTCTGTGTTTCAAAATCAGCCTCTGATTGAAGATGATTGATGAGCCTGGGGGCTCTGGATGAGCTGTCCTCAGCGAGCAGCATCTCAGGCACCTGGGCTTGCCGCAGCTCCTGCCCTCACTGCTGCCATCCACCCCAGCTGGTACTGAAGCTGCCCAGGAAGTACTTTCTAACTGATTTGCAGAGAAAAGCACCGAGCATGTGCCTGAGCCTGAGTTCCTCCTTCCTGCCACTTGTCGTGGCTCCTTTGGTTTCCTCCAGTGGCTCAGTCCTCCTCGTCCTACCCAGGATGCCTGCAACCCCTCCCAGAAGACTGCTTGTTTCCCTGTCCCCGCTGCCTGCCAAGGACATAACCCTGGGCAGACAGGAGTGCTCCTCCACTGGCAATGTCAAGGTCCCCAAACACTGCCCACTCCAAAGCTTGGGATGCACAGATTCTTTGGCTTACGTGTTTGCAAGTGTTTTCTTTAACTGAAAATAGGCTTGTGGGTTGGGTGGGAGGAAGAGACATGCTCTGGGACATATGATTCAATCTGTCCTTGCATGGGCAGACCCAGGTTGGCCTCTTTGCTGCTTTCTCTGGAGACCATTTTGATAGTGGCGTGGATGGCAGGGAAATGACTCTCTGCAAGTTCGGACTTCATGAAATGGCTTGAAGGAAGGAGCATGACTGTTAGGTCTTTCTGCGTGGTTGGCATGGATTTGGTAAATCAGATGTATGTACCCTAGCATTTTCAGCACATAGGTGTTTACATGCTTCCAAAATTCAAAACTGCTTGCCAAACTGTGACTTGGGTTGGCTTGATACATTGGATTTAGGGTAACCGACTCCCTGGACTGGGATTCTGCTTGGTTTACCATAAACAAAGTCCTTTTCTTTTGAGGCTTTAGTTTGCCCATCTGTGACGTGAGAGTTTGGACTTTTAACCTTTGTTGAAAGATTCTTTTTAACTCTTGTTCCTGTGACTCTGTCCTGTGGTTCCTGTGATGCTGTTCTGTCCATTTTCCTGACAAGAAGATTCTTACTTCTTCCTTGTTTGGGTTACTGATTTCTTTCTCCCTGCAGAGAGGAGGGTGGTGGCTCTGGCCGGCTGGGGCTGCTGGGTCAGGTGCCCGGCAGGCCACAAGGGAGCCGGGTTGGACTTCTTGTGAGGCTGTCCGGATTCCCGCCTACCTCTTCACCTGGGGAGCATTGTCGACTCTAGAAACTGTCTAGATCTGAATTGCCCTTCCAGCATGAGGGCATTCATGATCCTCTGTGGGCTTTGACACGGGCTTGGATTAGACCAGAACACAGCGTTGCTTTTGATTGTGGTGCATCAGACGATTTGGTACTGAGATGTCCCTGTCTCCTCTTTCAGACCACTGAGTACTCAGCCATGGCCTCGTTGGCTGGAGGGCTGGATGACATGAAGGCCAACCTGACCAGCCCCACCCCTGCCGACATTGGGAGCAGTGTACCAGGCCCACAGTCCTACCCCATTGTGACAGGTGAGGGGACCTGGGGCATAAGGGGTTGAGGGGAAGAGAGGGAGAGAGAGCATGCATGCATGGTGGGAGGAATGGCTTCTTGGTACTTTTGGGGACTGGCCAGTTTTTCTTTACTGAGGTTATAAAGTCCTGGAACAGGTCAGGCAGGAAATTGCTGGGGCCACAGGTTGTAACTGTGATAAGACATGGTTGTATATGGTTCCAAGAAAGCCAGAGGAAAGCAAATGCCAAAGGGACTGTGGGCTGGGAGGAGGGACAGGGAACCCTATCAGGTGGCTCCTGTAGGTGGGGGCAAGTATATAGAGGCTTGAGATTGATCCATCTCATAAGCAAAGCAGCCCTGTTTGACAGCAGCTTCAAGGAGGAGGGGAATTCTTTGCAGCTTGTAATTGGCACTTCAAAATTTCAACAGAGGCTGAGTCGAGAAGGGCAGGAAGCTCAGGCTGGGTATGTGCCAAGCAGCTGCCTTCTGGAGGCCAGGGCCAGCCTCCTTATCACTGTCAGGGTAAAGCTTGAAGCAGGAGGCCTCTGAGCTCTCATCAGTAGAGCATTTGCCCAGTACGTGCCAGCCCCTGGGTTTCGTCCCCAGCACTGTACCAAACAGCACAGCAGTAGCAAACAGCATGGGCTCTCCCTCCCAGCGGGGCTTGAACTTGCCACTTACTAGCTGTGCAGTTATCTTGGGGGAGCCACACCACCACGCACAAATGCCTGCTGTGGTTTTCTGAGCTGGGCGACGGGCATAGTGATAGCACCCACTGACAGTGTGGTTTTGAGGATGGACAGGCTCACACCTCGAAGGTGCTTGGATTCTTGCCTCGCACGTAGCTCTCACCCAATATATGTGGCTGTCGTCACTCCTCTCAGAGCTCTGCCATGTGGCTCGGCACAGTTGTGCATGTTGCTACAGCTGCCCTCCGTGTACCACACCACTTAGCTCCAGCAGCCCTGGGTACTATGGAGCACTAGGGACCGTCTGAACTTCCAGGCCCTGGAGAATTCCGCCTTGGCAGGCAGAAGGCTCTTAGATAGCGGGGTGCTAGGGACCACACTTGGGCCAGAGCCTGGGGGTGCAACCCAAGCTGGAAGGATGCACCTGTAGACTGGTGGGCAGAGCACAGTAGGTAGTGACAGAGACAATGGGTTCTTGAGGCACAGTAAGCTGTTGGCGTATCAGGGAGGCTGAGGATTGTCCTTGGCTTAGAGAACTTTAGGGGCAGGGACAGATGAAACAGGATTTCAGTCACAGGGGCCCTTTAGATCTGAACAGCAAGGCAGGGAGGCCAGCTCTGTGACCTGAGCTGACGGTCAGCACTGAGGCTCAGACTGGAGCAGCTGGGGCCCCACTTGCAGGTCTGGGTACCACATGAGAGCAAGACGGGGCCAGAGTGACTTGGTCCCTGTGCACATGCAATGAGGTGGAGCCTTTAGATAGAGAGACCAAGTGGGGCGGGAGTCGGAGCTTCAGTGCTACCGAAGTCCTCTCTGCTGGACATGTGTCACCAGTGACCATGACAGCACTTCTGACGATACCTCATCTTACAGATGCAGAAGCCAGGCTCAGAGGAGCAGCACCTTGCCCAATGTAAGGGGTGCAGTGGAGCATTAGAGCCAGTCCTCAGCCTTCTAGATCCTGAGACCTTGTTATTTTCAAACAACTACAAACAACTGCAAAGGGGAGAGCAGAAAGAAGTGCGGCCCGGCTCATAATAATAGCCTTTGTCCCTTCACTGAGTGCTTAGGCACCAGATACCAGGCACTCCGTTGAGTGGGCCCATTTTACCCTCAGAGGAACCCTGGGAGATGGCACAGTCCATATCATGTTCATTTCATGTATAAAGAAACTAGGACCTGGGGCAGGTAAGTATTTTTCCTGAGGTCATAGCCCGTGTTCAGTGGTGCTGTGATTGAACACCAGGGATTATACAGCTCACCATCCTGCTGCACAGGTAAACTAGGGACCACCCGCAGTGCTGCCACTTCCTCTGTCTGCCTTTGGACACAGCTCTGAGTCTCAAGTTTTCCATCTATGAAATGGTCCTGGCCTCTCAGCATCCTTGTGATGATCCAGTAAGATCCCTGAGGAGGACATATGACAGAGAGGGTGGTTTGTGACTAGACTACGGTGCATGGAAACTCAGGTTTAGGCAGCTTACAGGGAGACTTTACATCCATTTGTGTACGTGCATATTTAGGTGGATAATAGCTCAGGGAGTGTGGAGGCTGAGGTCAACTTCCTGAGGCTCCTGTCTGCAGGAGTGGAATACAGGTAGCCAGCTAGGAAGGCTCACCTAGCCGACAGATAAGTGTACTTGGGCCCACACAGGATTTTTAGACATTTTAATCCAACACTTTAAAAAGCAAAAATCTAGATTTTTGGGTCCCCTTGAAAAATCAGAACAGCCAGCCCTTCTGGGCCTTATTCCCACACAGCCATGGCAGGCTAGGTCCCCACCTTTCCCAACCAGTGGCTCTGTCATTATCTTGCAACGAAGACTGCCTGATGAAGACTGTGAGTTAACACCCATAAGGTAGGAATTTGTGCTAAGGGCCAGCTGGGTGGACTCACTCTCCTGCAGTCTGCAGAGGGATTCAGTAGGCCTAGGTACCAAATCCAGGGGTGAATTGGGTTTCAATGGAATCATTAACCAAAGATCTGTTTTGTGTTTTAATTCCCTCACTTTAAATCACATTAAGGAGCCAGAAGAGAATACATCCCAGACTAAAGTCAGAATTATGTTTAATTTTGAAATATTAGAGATATTATAATTATCAATACAATCATTAGCTTTCTTATAAATAAACAATAGCATAAAGAAGGAAGGAGCCCAGCAACAACAAAAATATTTTACCTACCAAGGAATAAACTTGACTCCACTAAGAGACATAAAAGAATAAATGGAGAGATGTTGTTTGTTCTTAGATGGGATATCATAAAGATGCCAATTCTGCCTAAGTAATCTATTAATTCAGAGCAGTCCTAAGCCAAATATCAAGAGATTTAAGAAAATATGTCAAAATGATGCAAATACTAGATAAATAAACATTCTAGGACAGCTAGGAAAATTCTGAAATAAATGAGTAGAAGTCCTAGCACATTTAAAAATGTACTGTAAAATTACAGTAATTAAAGTTGTTATTGAAACTGACATTTTGGCATCAAGAGTACAGAAGCAGATCCAAACGTTATATATGTGAGTATTTATAAATGCAGGGTGTTGGGTCCTTACCCTGTCTTGAACCGGGATATAGCTCAACAGTGCGGCACCTGCCTGGCAAGTGCGAGGTCCTGAGTTCGATTCCTTGTACCCAAACCCCACCCCCCAGAAAAACCTTACTTCTGTCCTTATATCAAAATAAATAGGTTTTGAGGCTATTGCTATGCTAATTAGCCTGATTTGATCATTATACATTATATACATGTATCAAAATATCATAATATACCATAAACGTGTATAATTATACATCAATTAAAAATAAATGCCAGGTAGCAATGCCATGGTAGAGCTCTGGGAGGCTGATGCAGGAGAATCATTGTGAATTCAAGGCCAGCCTGAACTACATAGTGAGACCTTGTCTCAAAAAAACCAAAAATGAAAAAAAAATTCCAGGTTGATAAAAACTTCAAATAAAAAAAATAAAACTAGGGGAAAAGTTTTTTTATAAAGGCCTTTTAAAAACATGTCTCAAAAGCAACATATCTATCTATCTATCTATCTATCTATCTATCTATCTATCTATCTATCTATCTATCTCTTTTGTATATGTGTAAAAATACCCAAAAGACAAAGCATAACAATGTAAAAAAGAAGCAGAACACAGTTAACAAAAAGTTAATTTCCTTTGTATATAAAGAGCTTTAAAAATGAATAAGAAATAAATCAGTAGAAAAACCAGGCAAAGAATATAAATAGATGTTTCACTGGGGAAAAATACGGATGCCTCAAAAGTATATGATAAATCAGCAAGTTAAAATAATCAAATGATACTTAAGATATAATACCATTAGCTTATCAAATATTAAGTTTCAGGGTTGGAAAGGATATGAGAAATAGACATTTTCATATACTGTTAAGGGAGTATAAATTGATGCAATTTCTTTTGGGAAGAAACTTGGCAATATTTATCAAATATTTAAATCTACACGCCAGGCCTGTGACCCAGAGCTTTTATATATACTTTAAGAATTTATCTCACAGATATATTCACACAGTGCAATATAATGGTAAACAAATAGAAACAGTGTGGCCTCTATAACTAAGAGCTGGCTAAATATATTACGGCCCTTTCAGGTAATAAAGTACTCCTGGTATACTACCCACAAAGGTAAGTAAATCTTACCTGTACTCACATGAATACATGTCTAAGATATACATCCCAGTAAAAAGAAACAAGTGTGTAGTAATCAAGTATAAGCCCATTTGTATAAAAATATAATACAATATAGTATAGAGAAAATACAAAATATGGTACAACACAAAAATTATATTATGATTAATGGAACCTTTGAATTAATACAGACACAAGTACTCTATGTCGGATGCTGTGTGTGATGATTCAGTAGATCTTTGAACTCTTCCCTCTCTCTGCCCCTTCCTCTCTGCTGGGTGGAGAACCCCACTGCAATGGGGCCCTATACTGGGGTGCATTGAGGTGGGGTTCTCACCCAGCCCCACCCAGAGTCCCCTTGGGATAGCAGATATTTCCAGTGCCCCTTCACTGTCCTGAAATTAAGTTTAGAAAGCATGTAGCCTGTCTTCACATCTAATTTCAAATAAAATCAAATCAATGCCTCATGAGGTAAAGGAGAAATGAAAACAAAATTGTTGATAATTAAATAACCACTGTTTGATAGGTACATGTCCTGAATGTCTAAACTGTGCAGTGTAACAAACTGGACCAGGACCTTCCCGGTGCCCAGAGGCCCCAGGGCTGCAGGAGCGCTGATTGCAGACTTCTGCAGGGTGCAGACCAGGGACTCTGCCGGCTCACACAGATTG